AAACATCCGCAGAAAGAACACGGTTGTACGTGTCAACTGAAAAACACTCAAAGATTTTATCCGTTTTGACCAAACAATTATCATTGCAATCTTCCCTAAGTGAAATACGATTGTGACCCTCCGCAGGACGAGTCCGATTGCAATCCCCCAAAGAAAAAATCCGAATGGAATCCTCCACACAAATAACATAACCCGGGGAGGTACCCAACCTTTCCAAGCATGTGGCGACTATACATCGGATCGCCCAATACAAAAGCCATCATTGAATGATCCAGAACGCCTTTTGAACGCTTCGCCAAAGAACGTCGGGCCAAACTCAGATGTTTCACATATACCGCGTCACTCTGATAAAGTCAGGTCGTTGGCAAGAGAGCGAAAACGAGGGGGCGTGGAAAAAATGACGAAGGACAATTGGAAACATATTTCGTGTGAGTAGCAGCGCCTTGCGCTGTGTTCGCATTGCAAGACAGCGCCATGCGCGCTATGACAGTACAGCGCCTCGCGCTAAACGTAGCATGTGCCCGCATGCATTACAAGCAACAGGTAGCTGAATAAGGGGTACGAGATGGGCAACGAACAGCGCCATGCGCTATTCGCTGCGAGGCCCCCCAGGGGACGGCGAAGTCTCGTGGGGACCCGCACAAGACGTCACTCCGCAGGCACCCCCCCGAACCCCACGATAGTGGCAACAGCTTCGCAGATCGCAACCCCCGACAGGACGGCGAGGTCTCGTAGTCATCTGCGTAGGACGTACCTCCGCTGGGCCCCCCAAGGGCCCACGAAAGTGGCGGCGGTTTCACAGATCGCAGCACCTCAAGGGACGGCGAGGTCTCGCGGTGATCTGCGTAGGACGTACCACCGATGGCCCTCGCCAAAGCCCACCAAAGTGGCGACAGCTTCGCAGACCGCAGACCCCCAGAGAGCGACGAGGTCTCGTGGTGATCTGCGTGGGACGCACCTCTGCTGGCCCTCCCAAAGCCCACGAAAGTGGCGACGGTTTCGAAGATCGCAGCCCCCCAGGTGGCGACGAAGTCTCGTGGCGATCTGCGTGGGACGTACCTCCGCTGGGCCGCCCAGGATCCCACGAAAGTGGCGACGGTTTCGAAGATCGAAGCCCCCCAGGAGACGGCGAGGTTTCGTGGGGATCCGCGTAAGACGCACCTCAACGTGGCGGTTGTGTTCGCAAACTCGCGTCGTGCCGCCTGCCCTGGACTTTGCCCCTCGCCGCCAGACCGTTGTCGCGCGGCCGCAGACCAAAAAAGTAAGACGCACCTCCGCTGGCCCTCCCACGAGCACACGAAAGTGCCGACTGCTTCGCATCGCAGATCGCCGACCCCCACGGGACGGCGAGGTCTCGTGGTGATCTGCGTGGGACGTACCTCCCTTTGGCCTCTCAGCAGCCCACGTAAGCGACGACAGATTCGCAAATCGCAGCCCCGCAGGGGGCGACGAGGTCTCGTGGTGATCAGCGGAAGACGCACCTCCGCTGGCCCTCCCAGAATCACATGAAGGTGTGGACGGTTTCGCAGATCGCCGCCCCCCAGGGGGCGACGAAGTCCCGTGGGGATCTGCGTAGGACGTACCTCCGCTGGGCCTTCCAGAAGCCCACGAAAGCGGCGACAGTTTCGCGCATCGCAGCCCCATCGGGGGACGGCGAGGTCTCGTGGTAATCTGTGTAGGACGCACCTTCGCTGGCCCTCCCAAAACCCACGAAACTGGCGACAGTTTCGCAGATCGCCGACCCCCTGGGGGGCGACGAGGTCTCGTGGTGATCTGCGTAGGACGTACCACCGCTGGGCCCCCAAGGACCCCACGAAAGTGGCAACAGCTTCGCACACTGCAGCCCCCAGCGGGCGACGAGGTCCCGCGGTAATCTGCGTAGGACGTACCTCCGCTGGCCCTCCCAGGAGCCCACGAAAGTGGCGACAGTTTCGCAGGTCGCAGCCCCCCTGGGGACGGCGAGGTCTCGTGGTGATCTGCGTGGGACGTACCTCGGCTGGCTTTGCCAGCAGCCCACGTAAATGGCGACAGATTCGAAGATCGCAGCCCCCCTGGGGGCGCCGAGGAGGAGAGGAAAGGAAGGAGGAAGGAGGAGGGGGGGAGGAATGACGGAGACCACGGTGCTCTATGCAAAACGAGTACCCAACCAAGGGAGGGCTAAAAATGAATGCATTTCTGCTCTGAAGGAACCCGAATGTGACTCAGCCAGACAAATCTTAGCGCCATCCTCGACAAAAGGTACCTTCCTGTAACCATCCTGCAAAAAATATGAACGCCGTCCTTTCCAAAGGAATCCCGTTGAAACCCTCCATATAAAATATTACTGCAATCCTTCACATGACGAATCCTATTGTAATCCCCTAGGCACGGAATTCGATTGTAATCCTCACAACGAGAATGTGATTATAACCGTCTGCAAAACGCATTCTAAATTAATCATCCACAGCTGAACAGCCAAGGATATGGCAGATCTTCTCTGGAATTGTTACTGGCAAACTGC